TGTTTCTATATTGATGAGGTTGAAAGTGAGTTTGGGTTGAGCTACTTAGTTTTAGAGAAAGAACAACAGAAAGTGGAGAAAGGTGCAAGGGAAGGATGAAAATGTTTAAAATTAAGTCTTCAGAAGAAAAATATTTTTCTGACAGATTGTCTAGTTCAAGCTCAGTGAGTTTTGCTGATACAAAGAAGGAAGCAACAGAGGAAGAGGTGGTAGATTTAGATAGAGTGTTTTAAGCTGATCCATCGATTAGATGAAAGGAAGTCACATCTTTTTGTTTATCTCTTTAATTGTAGTATTGAAAAGAACCTAAATATCATCTAGTTTAGCTACCATTGGATGCTTGAATCTCCTCCAGTGTATCCCTCTGTGAAGTCATCCAGCCTATGTTTGAACAGCTCTAACAACTTGCAACTTATGCCTCCTAAGCACCTCTCCCTGTTAGCAAGTTTTTTTCATGTATTGAGGACAATTTTTGTCCATGTAATTTCCATCCATTGCTCCTAGTCCCTGTTCTACAGAATAACGTTAAATAAATTCATTGATGCTTTCACGTGACCTCCTGACATCCTTTCAAGTATTCAAAAGCAGCTTTAAATTCTTCCCAGCTATAGGTTAAATATCCACAGTTGTCACCTACTATGTCCCTTTGCTTTCTCCTGAGACTATTGCTAAAAAATTTTCCCAAAAGATCTTCATTCTCAATGGGAAAAAATCAGTATATGGGCAATTCTGTAATATTTCATCAGATCAATCTCTTCATAGTGGTTAAGAAAGTGGGATCAGCAGCAAGAAATACCTAGACTGAATCCTTCTTATAAATTGTATAATCTTGTGCAATTGCATAATCCTCCAACTCAGTTATACTCATCTACAAAATGAGGATTCAAATAGTAACCACTCCGTAGAACTGTGAGAATTTAATGAGATTATAATGCATGTAAAATGTGTGAATGCTTACTATATACCAGCTTAACTCCTTGCATGTACTATCTCACTTAATCCTTTTGATACTGGTTACCATTTTCATATTAATTTTAAATATTTGAAAACTGAATGTGTTGGAGATCTTTACTCACTCCTCCAGATTCATTTTCATCCCTTTACTTTCAATATTCTGCCCCAGGAGGGGTATCTATATGGGCAACATCAATGGACTCCCTTTCCCTTTGGCTTCCTGTTGGGTTGGACCAGTGAGAACATCAGCAGGAGATTAGGAAAATGAGGAGAGTGGGTATTTTTATCCTGTGCAATTGCTTCAGGCTGGCTGCGTCCCTCAATCAAAATTCATACTTGTCTCAAGGCAGTTATCACCACACAACTCTTCCCACTAGTCTCTCATTCTTTCCTTTTTCTCCTAGAAATGGTAGTAGAATGTTGTCACTAGCACCAGGGTTTTGTACTATCTTTTGTTGTTCTCCTATACCTTGTTCACTGTTTTGAATATACAGTGGACTCTTGAACAACATGGGTTTGAACTGCATAGGTCTACTTATATATGAATTTTTTCAAGATATGAATGTTGGAGAAATTAAAGAGATAGTAGACACAACACCAGAGAAATTAATAGGAGACTGTTTGTTGGAGATACTGTTTCTGAACCAGTACAAGACAATAAGGAAGAAATCATAGAAAAAGCAGTGCCAGAAAAAAACAACAAAAAAATGACATTAGAAAATCTGGCAAAAGCATTCCAATTATTTAAGACTGCTTTTGACTTCTTTTATGTTATGGACCCTTCTATAACATGAAAATAAGCAAATGGTGGAAGAAGGATTGGTACCATATATAAACATTTTTAGAGAAATGAAAAACCAAAAAGTTAGACAGAAATTGCAATGTATTTCCCTAAGTTATAAAGGACTGTGCCTGCCTCTCCTTCTTCCCCTTCCATCTCCTCCACTTCCACTTCTGCCTTCCCTGAGACAACATGACCAACCCCTCCTCCTTCTCCTCCTCCTCAACCTACTCAATGAGAAGATGAAGAGGATGAAGACCTTTATGATGATCTACTTAAACTTACATTTACACTTAATGAATAGTAGTAAATATTCATCACGCTATACAGTTAATAAACTTATTTGGGGTGTGTGTGTGTGTGTGAATGTCTCTGTGTGAAAATGCAATAATTATATGGCAAGAACTGTGTTAATAGACTGTTTTCTATTTGTAGTTAAATTTTTGGTAAGTCAAAATTATGTGTGGATTTTCCACTGTATAGAGGGTCGCCCCCAACCCACATGTTGTTCACAAGTCAAGTGTACTACCTTTATTAAATTCTCTTCATATTGCCCAATCTGAGATGTCATGTGTTTCCTATGAGTTCTGTGACTGACACACTGAGACACAGAGAGATTAGGCAAGTAGCCCAAGATCACAGACTTCACAGTATTAGGATCATGATAAGAACCCAGGCAAGTCTGAGTAGAGAGACCAGGTTCTCAATCACTAAGCTGTAATGCCTTTTGTCATGTTGTATGTGAGCCACAACTGTTAGATCTCTCAATAAAGCATTCATTTGTCTGTACCAAGAAATTTGGAAGACAGGTACCTGGCCAACCAACAGGAAGAGACCCATATTTGGTGCCCATTATGAAGAAAGGTGATCCAATAGAATGCAGAAATTACCAAACAATATCAGATGCAAGTAAAATTTTTCTGAACATAATTCAAAAACGGTTGCAGAAGTACATAGATAGGGAACTTCCGGAAATTCAAGCTGATTGAGAAAAGGGCATGGAACAAGGGATATAATTGCTGATGTCAGGTGTATTTTGGCTGAAACAGAGAATACCAGAAAGATGTTTATCTGTGTTTTAATGATATGCAAAGTCATTTAACTGTGTGGATCATAAGAAATTATGAATAACATTGCAAATAATGGAATTCCAGACCACTTAACTGTGCTCATGAGGAATCTGTACATGGACCTAGAGGCAGTCATTGGAACAGAACAAGGGGATACGTGTTTAAAATTAGGAAAGTTGGGCATCACCAGACTTATTCAATCTATATGCTAAGCAAATAATCCTAGAATCCAGATGATATGAAGAAGAATGCAGCATCAGGACTAGAGGAAGAATCATTAACAACCTACGATACACAGATGACACAACTTTGCTCGCTGAAAGTGAAGATGACTTGAAGCGCTTACGAATGAATATCAAAGACTACAGCCTTCAGTTTGGATTACACTTCAACATAAAGAAAACACAATGCTATCAAGTGGACCAATAAGCAATATCATGATAAATAGATAAAGATTCAAGTTGTCAAGGATTTAGTTTTTCTCAGATCCACAATCAACATGCATGGAAGCAGCAGTCAAGAAATCAAATGTATTGCCTTGGGCAAATCTGTTACAAAAGATCTCTTTAAAGTGTTAAAGAGCAAAGATATCACTTTGAAGACTAAGATGAGCCTGATCCAAGCCATGGTATTTTCAATCACCTCATCTGCAAGAAAAACCAGGACAATGAATAAAGAAGACCAAAGAAGAATTGATGCCTTTGAATTAAGGTGTTGGTGAAGAATATTAAATACACTGCCAGAAGAACAAATAAATGTGTCTTGGAAGAAGTACAGCCAGAGTGTTCCTTGGGAGTGAGGATGGTGAGACTTCACCTCTTCTACTTTGGTCATATTGTCAGGAGAGACCACTCCCTGGAGAAAGATATTATGCTTGGTAAAGTAGATGGCTAGTGAAAAAGGGGAAGACCCTCAATCAGATGGTTTGATATAGTGGCTAGAACAGTGGGCTCAAGCAGAGCAGTGATTGTGAGGACCAGGCAGTGTTTTGTCCTGTTGTATATATAGGGTCACTATGAGTCAGAACCACCTTATGGCACCTACTAACAACATGCCCTGTTTAAACCGGGTCTTTTATATTTACTGTAGTGGAAAGCTGGAAGGTATAAAAGCAAAATTAATTCTTTATCTATATTATGGTATTTGAAAACACCCATATATAAATCTTGTCTAACCATTTCTAGTGGAAAATGTTAAGATTTTCTTTTTTTAAAATAACTTCTGATTTTAGTTGTTGTTGTTGTTGTTGTGTGCCATCGAGTCGGACCCGACTCATAGCGACCCCTCCTTGGGTTTCCAAGGCAGTATCACTACGGAAGTAGATTGCCCCATCTTCCTTCTGAGGAGTGGCTGGTGGGTTTGAACCACCAGCCTTCTGGTTAGCAGTCAAGTGCCTTAGCCACTATGCTTTTAGTTAGCTTATCACAAATGGTATTAGAATACCTGTAAGTGGAATATATCACACAAGTGCTTATTCTGTTTCTTTCACTAGATCTGGGCATCTAATGATAGTGTTCTAAGAAGTGTGGACTACTATGTACATAGTCCAACCTATTTATATTAAAATTGCAAGCTAGTGGCTTATAAAAATCTCTTAGCACTTAGTATCCCAAGGTAGACAAGCATTGGCCAACAAAATATTGCACTTTATTTGTGGAAAAGATGAAACAAAATCAGACTTTTTTTTTTTTTTACAAATAAAAAAATCAAAACATCCCTTTATTTTTATGTTTGAGCTCTTAGAAACCCTAGTGAGTGTCTTTGACTTTCAAGAAAAATGTAATATACTATATGATGCTTTCAAATTATCTTGTTCCTTTCAAGTTATAACTGCATACTACACTAAGATAAAAAATGGAGATGATTTAGGATATAACCTGGTACTAGACAATTTGTATTTAGGTATCTAGTTACATTTTTCACTTTTCAACCAAGTTTTTACTATTAGGGTTAGAAAGAAAAGAATGCAAAGAGAAAAGCATGAATTAATACGTTCTCTCTGAGTTGCCTAGGAAATACAAAACTTTGTGTTTTATCATTGACAGCCTCCACAGATTTAAATTTTCCTATTTAAATTGGTTTAATAGAATATCTTGACTACTGAAAGGCAGAAAATCCAAAATAAATAATGGACTATGTGATGAGTGAATATTAGGAATCAATATTGAATCAGCTGGACGTGTTTAACTACTTACAACTGTAGTTTTTTTGTCAGTGTAAAAGAAAAGTGTAGTTCCTCTCAATTCTGTCCAATAATGTTTAAACTCCTGTGGGAAAAAAATTATAAGAATTATTTCATTAGTGTAGAGCAAAGTATTTTCTGTTTATCTTTTCCCTTGTGATTTTCTTAATTGCTTATACAATATAAGGTGATTCTTCATCCTGAGATAACTTAAATATTTACCTGATTTTTGTGGCTTATTTTATATTTAATTTTTTAATCCTTCTCAAATTTATTTTAGTATATAATTTGTGGTAAGGATAAAATTTGATTTGCATTTATTTTCAAAAACTTTCCTAATTGATTTAAGATACGTGGCTTTTTGTGTACTTTCAGTGGAAGATTTCACAGACAAAATGGCCAATGTAAAGGGCCAGAATAGGACAAACAAGTAATATTTACCTTGAAGGACAGTTGAAGGGATTGAATGAATTAATACTTGTAAAGCACTTAGCATCATGTTTGGCTCAGCCTTTGGGCTCAATAAATGGTAAATATTGTCATTACAAGGAAATGTGAGAAATTGATAATGATGAAAATAATTTAACACCATTAAAGTTAATTCATTCAGGAAGTAAATATTTAATTATTAACATCCACAATATTATGCATTCTATAGAAGTACATTTTAAAAATTTAAATAACCTAATCAAACTCCCATTTCCTCAAGTGAAATTTATTCAAATAAATGAAATTTATATTGTAAGAAGATTGGCTATATTACAAAAGAATGGCAAAGGAGTTTAAAGAATAAAACCCCTCAGCTTCTAAAGCCTTACCTTCATACCCAATCCTTTCCAAAAGTATGGCTTAAAAAAATCCCAGTCAGTTTAAGAGATATGTCCACCATTCCTTCCTTTAAGGTATAATAAACTTTTTTCCCCCTTTCTTTTTTTCTGTAACACTTTGTTGTGATTTAGGTGAAAGTTTACAGAGCAAATTTATTTCCCATTCACCAATTTATACACAGTTTGTTTCATGGTATTGTTGCAATCCCCTCAATGTGTCAGCCCTCCCTCCTTTTTCTCCCTGGGTTCCCTGTTTCCATTCTCCCATCTTTCCTGCCCCTACCTACCTTCTGAATTTTGCTTTTGGGCAAATGGTGTCCTTTTGGTCTCTTGTAGTTCATTATTCTAAGGTGCACTTTCTTCTTGGGTATTATTTTTCATGTTATAGCCCTGTCTATTGTATGGCTATAATGTGATCTCCAAGAGTTGGTTTAGTTCCAAGTTTGAAGGACGTCTAAGGTTCAAAGTCTCAGGGATTCTACCAGGTTCTAACAGACTGTTAAGTTAGGTTTTATGAATTTGAATTTTGTTCTACATTTTACTTCAATTCTGTCCAGGATATACTCTTTTGATCCCAATCAGAGCAGCCAGTATTGGTAGCCTGGTACCACCTAGATATTCTAGTCTCAGGCTAGTGGAGGCTGTGGTTCATGTGGTACATTAGTCCTTTGGACTAATTGTTTCCTTGAGTCTTTGGTTTCCTTCACTCTTCTTTGCTCCAGATGGGAAGAGACCAATTGTTGTATCTTAGATAGTCATTCACAAGCTTTTAAGACCCCAGCTGTTCCTCACCAAGGTAGGATGTAAAACATTGTCTTTTATGGGCTATGCTATGCCAATTGTCTGAAATACCCTTGGATAAGTTGAATTTGTGCAATGATCATTATGACCAGCAGAAACTGTGTTACCTCTTCAGAATTTGTACAGTTTCTTCAATAAAGTCTCTAACTCATCTTGCTTTTATTTTCCTTGGTTCCCAGAAAACTCAAAATTAAGTTCATACTAAATTACAGCAACCATCTTTTCACATGCTCTTCCTTCATTTTCACAGTTTCTGATATCTAGTTATGTGCTATATTAGTTTGCTTTTGCAATGTAACAAACCATTCTAAAACAGTAGACAACACAGGGAATGTTTTCTATTCCTCACTGTTATGTAGCTGGCTAATTGATTCTTCTGGTCTGGATGTATTTGGCTGCAGCTGGTGGTGTAGTGTCTAAGGCATTTGACTGCTAACCAGAAGGCTGACAGTTCAAGCACACCAGCTACTCCTCAGAAGGAAGGTTAGGCAATCTACTTCCGTAGTGATACCACCTTGGAAATCCAAGGAGAGGTCGCTGTGAGTCAGACCTGACTCAATGGCAGTGAGTTTGGTTTTTTGGTTTTGGATGTGGTCTAGGTTGGCCTCACTCACTTGTCTGTGACTTAGCTGAGAATGGCAGAATGGCAGGAAAGCCTTGAACAACTGTGCCTCCTTCTACATGGTCTCTCATCTTCCAATCAGCTAGCCTAGCCTTTCACATGCTGAAAGAAAAGTTCCAAGAAGTAAGAGAGGGAAAACCTCAGTGTGCAAGCATTTTCCAAGCTTCAGTTTATGTCACATTTACCAAAGTATGTCGTATGACCAAAGGGTAGAAAAACAGACTAACCTCTTTATGGGAGGAACAAAAAACTCTTACATTTAAAAAGATGACAGTGAAGCTCGAACAAATTGGTAGTATTAATTACTATAGTGATCCACCCCAGGAGCAAAGTTTTTGTCCAAGCACCACCCCACCTCCCCAAAAAATCTCATTGCCGTGGAGTTGGATCCAACATATAGCAGACCTTTCCTTGGGTTTCTGAGACAGTATCACTACGGAAGTAGATTGCCCAACCTTCCTTCTGAGGAGTGGCTGGTGGGTTTGAACCTCCAGCCTTCTGGCTACTGGCCAAATGCCTTAGGCACTATGCCACCAGAGCTGCTTCTAATTCATCCTACTTCTCAGCTGAGAATTGGCTATAACATGTACCAAATCTGCTGCTATCACCTGAACAGAGAACCAATTACCATAGAAAAGAACAATCTGAAACAGCATATGATCAAAAGATCAGCCAATAGATAGCCCAATGAGGAGCAATTATTAAACTAGGCAAAAAGGAGAGAAAAATTACAACAAATGAGTATACAAATGTAAAAGGAGCAGGGAAAATAGGGAGTAATGGCTAATGAGGTTTCTTTTTAGGGTGATGAAAATTTTCTGGAATTAGATAGTGGTGATGGTTGTACAATTTTGTGAATAAACAAAAAACTACAGAATTGTAAATTAAAATACTAGTAACAATAATAATAAAAATTGCTGTGTATGTTGTATGGGAGTTCACTATTAAGGGAAAAAGAATAGAAGTAGGGAGAACATCCTTTGGCTATTGCTTCATAGAATTGTTGAAGGATTGGATGTGATAAAGGATACAAAGCTCTTAGGGCTTGGGACATAGCAAGTGTTCAAAAAATGTTGGCCATAGAAAACAAAACAAAACAAAAAAACAGCTTTGCCTCGTCACTCACATTATTGACAGCTACTTTGCATTTTCATTATTTGTATAAATATTTTTCCATATGATTATATATATATATATATATAATGGTGGTGGTGAGGTCTAAATAAATATTTTTCCATAGGATTGTTTATGACAAAAGGAGCCCTGGTAGAACAATGGTTAAAATACTTGGCTGCTAACTGAAAAGTTGATGGTCCAAACCCACCAGCTGCTCTGTGGGAGAAAAGACCTGACAATCTCTCTCCATAAACATTACAGCCTAGGAAACCCTGTGGCACAGTTCTACCCTGTCATATAGGGTTGCTAAGAACTTGATACCACACAATAACAACAACAATCTATGAGAATGAAGGGATATTTTGCAGACCAGAAAAATTAACCTATATAAATCAACCTTCTATAGTTTCTTAAATAAACAGAGAGAAAATCAGATTGTGAAATTTGACCTGAGAAGTTGCTAATATATACTATTACTGTGATCTGACAGATATTCTGTAAGATCATGAGAGTGATTGGTCCCTTACTCTGTTGAAAAATACTTGAATTTTCTCAAAATTGAACACTGATTAAATAATAAAACAATTCAAAGTTACATTAGGAGTTTTCTCATACTTCTTTTTTAAGGCTTTTCACATCCTGCTCAAGCTATTTAAAAAAAAAAAATGCTATTCCAACTTATGGAAACCCCATGGGTGTCAGAGAAGAACTGTGACCCATAGGGTTATCAATGGCTGATATTTTGGAAGTAGATCACCAGGTCTTTCTTCCAAATTTCCTCTGGGTAGAACTGAACCACTAACCTTTTGGTTAATATCTGAGTGCTTAACCACTTGTACCACCCAGGGACCAGGCTCCAATGACAAATCTCTGTAATGAAAGGAGCAGGTCAAACTTATACTGTATTACAATAATGAACTAATACAATATTTGTCCTTCTGTGATTGACTTATTTCACTCAGCATAATGTCCTCCAAGTTCATCCACATTATGTGGTGTTTTGCAGATTCTATATTATTCTTTAGTGTTGCATAGTATTCCACTGCGTATATGTATCAGTTTGGTTATCCATGCTTCTGTTGATGGGCACCTAGGTTGTTTCCATCTTTTTGCTATTGTAAATAGTGCTGTGACGAATATGGGTGTGCATGTATCTGTTCTTTGTCCTGCCTCTCACTTCTTCATGATATATACCTAGTAATGGGATTGCTAGATCAAATGATATTTCTAATTCCAACTTTTTAAGAAATTGCCATACTGCTTTTCACAGTGGTTATAGCATTTACAGTCCCATCAGCAGTGTATAAGATTCCCAATCTCTCCTCATTCTTGCAAGCATTTGTTATTTTCCATCTTGTTGAACTTTGCTACTAGAGCTGTGGCCAGATGGAATCTCATTGTTGTTTTGATTTGCATCTCTCTAATGGCTAATGATCGTGAACATTACTTCATGTGTTTTTTGGCCACCTGAATATCCTCTTTGGTGAAGTGTCTGTTCATGTCTTCTGACTATTTTATAATTGGATTATTTGTCTTTTTGTTGTTGAGGTGTTGGAGTTTTCTATAAATTTTAGAGATAAGTCCCTTGTTGAATATGTTGTTGCCAAATATTTTTCCCAATCTGTAGGTTCCATTTTAATTTTTTGGAGAAGTCTTTTGAAGCACATAAAAATATAATTTTTAGAAGGTCCCATTCATCTAGTTTATCTTCTGCTATTT